CGGCGGAAAACGCAATAAAATGTATAAAGCTTTTGGAGAGCCAGCTCGTTCCCAAACACCAGACAAAGTAAATTTTATCGCTGCACTCCAACTCCGGCGGTTCTCACCGTCCAATCCAATTTACGGTCGCATGCACCGCCGCTCGACGCTTTCCGCGTCGTAAACGCGCGGCCGCACAGAATAATATTTGAGGAATTTTCTTTCGGAAATTCGAAGAGGTCCTGCCATTTGTTGGCTTAACACAAAACCTTTCGTCCCGCGAATTGTCTACTCAGTTCGGCGAGAGCAAGTTATTTACTGCATTATCACTTGCGAAAAACGAGCTCTCCCTCTTTGCCCAAGTACAGTATGCAGCAATAATAATTAATAAAATTAACCGACCAAGACGAAAAATAATATCGTAAAGAATTATTTCACGCCAATACATGATTAACCAATGTAGAAAAGTTATTAAACGATGCTAACTTGCAAATTCTAATTAAAGAAATTTATTGCGAAAAATATTACCTCAGCCAGGGTTTAAACCTGGACTTCCCAACACTCTAGGCGGGCGTCGAATTGGTGAGACCAGGTTCAAACCCTGGCTGAGGTAATATTTTTGGTAATAAATTTCTTTAATTAGAATTTGCCAGTTAGCTCCGTTTGACAATTTTTCTACATTAAAAAAATAATATATTAAGTGTTTTCTCAGACTTTCAGTAGTTTTTAATTTTCAAACATACTTGCAGAGTCTCATTGTGCTTCAACTTTATAGTTTCAACTCTAATTATGTAAAATTGACTTTTCATTTCAACGTACAAGATGGAACCCATCTTATAATGCGAAACGAACACATCGACACATTTAAATACCAACGTGGAAACTTTTCAAAACAATCACCCGAAACAATTACTGATCGAAAAGTCAAATCAAATTGCGTGGTGCTTTGGCAAACTAAACACAAAAATAATTTTGTTAAAGATGAACCGATCAAGTTTCCCGAGGATCTCAAATTCGCCAGATTTTACGAATAGCCCAACTCTTTTCGTTCTCCTTTTAGATTTTCAACTCAGCATCGAAGCTTCGCAAAATTTCTCACGACGGGGACCCTTTTCCGCCCTCACCGCCCCGGTTGTGCACGTCTGCCACGACTCGCGGGTACCCAGAAATAATTCGCCCCTGATTCGAGACATAACTATTGACGATGAGTCTGCGACATGCAAGGGAGAGCGGGCCGCCGCGCGCCACGTGCGCCCGAAAATAGCTGCGCTGTGGCGGGAAAGGGAAAACTGCACCGCTCGATTATCGGGGAGCGAACACTTAGCGTTTCGCCGGGATAAATAATTGAACGAGCAGAAATTGATTCCGTCTCACCCTCGATCGCGAACGTCGGCGACGGCGACGGCTCGATAAAGGTCTCGCGGCGAGCGTTTCCGCGCCAACGAATCAATTCCGCGTATTGGGGAGGGGGGGGGGCATCCCGTTTCAACTAATTGTTAACATTATCGCCACCGCCACGTCGAGAAATGAGCCGTCGCCCGAGTTTCGTTCCCATCAGCGCGACCTAGAAAAACCGCCGTCGGGGAGGAACAATCGCGCTCGCCGTTTCGCGAGTTATCTCGAGGCATAAGTACGTTGCGGCATCCGCTTCCTGTTTTCAAACCGAGGGCCAATACGATACGCGGCGTTCTGCCGCGGTGCGTTTTGCGGATTTGCGAAGGGACTCGTCCGCCAGGCGGGCACGATCATTTTACGGGGAATAAACGTATGCAAATTGCGCGTGCACATGCGACGAGGAAGTGCACCGCCGGATGGGGTCTGCGCGATGAGAAAGAAACGACGACTTACCGCTACCAGCAATCTCACCAATGCCCGTTTCTGCCGATGCAGATTAACTGTAATCTCGGTTTAACTTACTTTAGATCTTTTCCTAGTTTCAAAAATTGGAAAGTCATTTAAACCGAGACTAAAGTTAATCTGCACTCGTAGAAACGAGCACGTAAACGTACACTTCGACATACGTGTCTTTTCGTGTATTATTTTTTTACGGCGGTTTCTCGATTTAAAGTCAATTTTTCGACGGTGAAAATATTCAAGTTACAATTTTCGAGCTATTACTGATCGAGGAATCTGTCAGAAGTTCGCGGGGCTAAATTGATTATCGCGTTCTTAATTTTAGCTGGAATCTGCTTCAGTTAAGACGATTCTGAAGGTCTTTCCGAGAGAAGAAACTTGAGAAACTCGATTAAAAAATATACGTTACTATAAACGATGACAGTTCTCTACATTTTTGCTAAAAACAAACCTCAAATTGATTGAAAAATTTATTTATAGATAAAAATAGTGCGCGAGGAAAGCAAGATAGTTTATATAATTACGTATTTTATAAGTCTCTCAGTCGCAGATCTTACAATACCGTCTACTTAATAAAAATAAGATCAAATCTAAAGATAGGAAAATCTTTGCGTCGCATTAATTCCGTTGAAACGAAAGTTTTATTCTTGACTTCCAACTTATGCCTGTTTCTACCAACGCAGATTAACTTTGATCTCGGTTTAAAAATTACTTTTCACAATTTTTAAAACTAGAAAGAGACGTAAAGTAAGTTAAATTGCATTAGCAGAAACGGGCATTAATTTTTTTTTCAATCTTTCCCTTGATTCGATATTTGCCAATGTCCAGCTGAACGGCCTAAACGTAATTAGCTGTTTCACCGCAAATTACCGGCAAAAAGTAACGAGGTGAAAATTTCATCGGACGTTGCGAAGTCTCGTCGCAGTGCCTAACGTCGCATTATCATACATTTGCTCCCGCTAAGCGGACCGAACCACTTCTCGGCCACTTCTCGTTTTCGTAACGCGCGTTGCGGCGAGAGCGGCCGCGCGTAAGAAGTGCGTTCAACGAGATGTCGAAAGACCCGAGACAGCGGTTTTAATCTTTCAGCGCGACGGCGGGAGACGGCCCGGTACTTTATCACCGAGCAGAAGATCGACGCGCGTAGCATTCCGCGCTTCCTTTTTTTTTCATCCTCCACCACCGGCGCGGCGGCATCACGCATTGTGCCTGATATTTATTATTCCCAGCTGGTGTTTCCGGTTTTTGTCAGCCGCAGGAAGCGCAGCGATACTCCGTACACGGGCGATCTATCGAGCCCACCCTATCGATCACGTCGCGCGCGCCGATAATGCTCATTGTATCGGGTACTCCGAACGGGAGAGAGAAACGTTCTTTCTCCGTTCTCGTATTCCGAACCAGCGGGCTCGTATCTCACGCAAACAATCTCGAAAAATTGCAAAAGTGTCACGTCGGCATTTAACTTCTATTTAGCTCGCCCGCCCAGAATCTATGCATATAATATTCCATTCAAGTTCTTGTATGTTACTTAATTCTGGTAATATCTTAATTATAGATATTTAATATAGATTATTGATAACGACTCGATATATGAAGTTATAGATACGATAATAATTAATATCTATAATTTACAATAATAATTATAGGTGTATTCTAATTTAAATAAAATTCCACTGAATTTAAATTGCTTTCAACAGGCAATGGTGACGACATTACAGGCCTGTGTCCATGAAGCTAGAAATGTGTAGCCAATCAACTTGCATAAAAGCTGCAAGTTGATTACCTATTTCTCGGAACTAGAACTTGGATCAAGTATTTAGAAATAACACACTCTCTAAAAGTCAATCAGCGGATTATCACTGAAACGGCGAATATTCACTGATTTCAGTGACAATGCACCGACTGACTTTTAAGCGTCGTCTACAATAACCGGCGTAAGCGTGGAGTAAGAAGTAAGAGTAGGCGTAAGAGAGCTACTTCCGGTTTAATAGAGCTGGAGTAAGGGCGTAAGCGAAATGAATTATTTTTATTTCTTACGCCTACTCTTACTCTTACGCCTTTTCACGCATGCCTACAACACCTACTTCACCGTATTGTAGATTGAGTCGGCGTAAACAGCTATTACGCCAAAAAACGTTACTCCTACTCTTACTTCTTACTCCACGCTTACGCCGGTTATTGTAGACGACGCTTTAGAGAGCACGCAAAAATAATATCATCGAAACGTCGACAATGGTGAGGGTGTCTGAAGAAATGCGAGTTACCAAATTTTCTCCTTTCTCGCTCACGGAGAGACCGGTATGGTTAACACGTGTCCAATTAGGGGTGCCACAACCCCAATAAATAGTTATATTCGGGACAGCTATATCTGCGGTTGCCATAGCCGCATCGGTATGATAAGTAGTGGAGACAACTATGTGCGTTTTGTGCAGCAAACTTAGTGAACGTTGCAACATAAAACAATGCAGACGCCCCTACTATTTATACGGCATTTTAAGTTTACTAATAAGTACGATTAAGACTTTAGTTGATCCAACTGGCAATATAATTGATAGAGTGTTACATTAGTTGCGACGTTTCGACCAAGAATCCGGTCCTTATCAAGCAATCAAACTGCAAACCAACATGTCACAGCTTTTTTACAAAGAAAAATAATTTACATAAACGAGTGTTAAATTTACAAGTAACATATTAAAGAGTACGTATGTGAGTATTACCTTATGTATAAATGTTCATAGAGTATATAATGTAGCAGATGTATAGGTTTTTGTCAGCGCAGTAAATTGTCATTTTTATAAAATCTTGAGAAAACACGTGTGCACGCTGCGGCGTTTTAGTTTGAACTGACAATGAGTCGTAAAATAAGGAAACAGTAAATGACAACGTGACCTACAGTGATTTTACTCTTTACTAATAAGAATTCTTCAATGTCGCCAGCGATAATTGACAACGTCAGTGTTTTCTTGACCATACCTGGCATTTTTAATAATACAGAAAATTTATTGCGAAAATTATTACCTCAGTCAGGGTTTGAACCTGGACCCCACTTCGACCACCGAGGCATACGATAATATTTGTCGCAATTTTAATTTTAGTTACTTTCGCCTTAGCCGGTCTTTTCCGTGCTCTTAGCCGCGCACGACCTCTCGCTATAATTAATTACTCACGTTTGTGTAGAAGTCCACTTCCTTGTAAGGATTCACAGCCACCAGTATGGATCCCGTGTACGTCTGTGGTAACATCTGCGTTAAGGAACATAACTCGAATTGCACTTGATAAATATAAACAATTGATATTGACCGTCCGCGTTGGATAATAACGTTGTACCACTCGTTAACGGAGAAAGTACCGACATTTTTCTGCCGCTGACATTTTTCCGCGCGTTAACAGCCGCGGCGCGGCCTTCGCGCATCACAATGCGATACAAGTGCATATAAGTGGGCGATAAATGAAGCGACATCGGGCTGAAAAACCCCGTGACCTTTTTAACGTTTTCGCTCCAGTCGCGATCGCGCTCGCGCTCCGAGCGAACTCTATTTTATGGAGCGCGAACGGGAAGTTGCGCCAATCCGTTTTTATTGCTCGCCCTATAAAAGAGAAAACTCTCCAAGGCGAATGAAGCGTGTAACGCGCCGTGTCTATTTACAGAGTCACCCAGACATGCACTTCCTCTCTGTGATACTCCCCGAACAATTTGGGAGTGATATTCTTTTAGCGGATATTTCAGCGCGAGATCTGATTTGCTTCGCAATTTCCATATTTTCCAATCCCAAATAGCTCGGGGTCTCCCTGAAAGCCCGCTTGAAATTCATGGAGATACTTCATTTAATTTCACTTTTACTTTTCATCTCTTATTATTAGCTCGGATTATAACGTCTCGACGCTTACGTTAAAGAAACATGAAGTTCGAACTGAAGAGGCTATCGAAATTCAACGATCTACTTCAGAACCATATGTGATATATAAAACTGCAATAAAACCGTTCTTGGGAAAATAATAAGGGCTGTAAGACGAGTGTGGAATTACGTCGCGTGGTTGCGTTGCGGGGTCACGGAAATATCACCAAAGAAATCTCTAGAGAGAGAGAGAGAGAGAGAGAGAGAGATCAGATCATTATTTATTGAACGCCTTTGGACACGTCCCCTAAGCCCTAAGACAATATCAGCAAGTTAACCCTTGGTGGCACTGCAAATCTAAGTGTGTTACCTTTGTACACGTACATGTGTAATTTGGCGAAACACTTTTTACACGCTTCTTTCCGTTCAAGATCACAACATAAGATTTGATACGCGTTATGTCACACATTTACAAACATTTTTAAACGGCAAGAAATATGCAAACGACGTTTATCGAGTCACGTGTCGCGATTTTTAACGGAAAGAAGTGCTTGACGGAATAAGGTGCTTCACCAAATTACACATATACGTTGTACACAGTAACACACTTAGATTTGCATGGTGAAAATGCATGTTAAAGGACGTAGAAAAAGCACTGTAGAGAAAGGGGAGGGGGAGGCGCACAGCTCTGCCATAAACGCTATCCCTTGCATAATAACTCGGGGATGACATGCTTTCGCCGAGGGAGAGAGCTCGGTAATGACGTCACGCTCGGGGGCGACCTATAGGGGGTATGACTCATGGCTGAATGCCACACCGTTAGCGAAAAAGGGGGGGGGGGAGGCAGTACACCTATAGCCGTACCACCCTTCGGCAACATTCGAGACGAGTTAGGGCGCCGATCTATACGACCGAAACTCGTTTTGGTAGGTAGGGTGATTATTGCAACCCCCTGCGAGTTACCGTATGAAAAATGTCCAGGCTTTATAAGTACCGGACAAAGAAATTCACGTAACCTCCGAAAATATCTGTGAAGAATGTCTTCTTCTACTTTTCGACTGCTTTGTTGACTCGTACACTTAATTTATTTTTTTTAACTTATTATCTTACGATTTTTCTATTTATTTATCTTCACCCGTAATAAGTTCAGATATGACATTAAGAATTTGCTGCCACAGACTCACGAACTCACTTTGTTTCGGCATAAATTAAATTTTTCAGCCAACATTAGATACTTTTCTCCTTTGTAATACACACTTATGCACATATTACAAGTTTCTTTCTTTATATTCCGGTTTGAGCATTTCAACTTTGTTTCCAGATCGTACTTGAAAAGGACCCGATAAAGAGATCGAAACGTTGTGATTTAAACAAAAATCACTTTTTTTGCCAGTGTGGTCGGCTTTTTAAAAAATGTTCCCTCTGTCTAATTACCACTGGCGACAATAAGCTTTACTCAGTTTTGTTAATATCTTCTTCCTTCTTAAAGACCAGAATCAAAAATCTCATGTGTAATTTAAAAAAGTTATACCGAATATTAAAATATCTAATTGCTATTGTTCTTTCAATTATTCCCCCCCCCCCTCTCTCTCTCTCTCTCTCTCTCTCTCTCTCTCTCTCTCTCTGTGCAATAGAATTAGAAATAAGTGAAGAATATATTTTCTTCCCGCTGTGCCCTCTTTTCTTTTTCGCGCCTGAGTCTCTCGTATATACGCCAGTTCGCTTAATCTTTGTACTTTGTGTTTATACGTCGCTTGTGTCACGTGTACCTTACTCTTTCTTTTGGAGTAAGAACGCGTACACTGCCAACGCTCACGTATAGAGGCTGTCAACCCTCGCGGTGATTATAATTTCCAGCTAGAGCCTGCGGTTCGTTCTCTATCGAAACCTCATCATTACCGACAAGGGCCTAACAATTTAATTAAGCCCTTGGGTAATCGCGTCTCGCGTCGCCCAACGGTGGTTCCTTGATTTACGCTCTCGCCGTAATAAAATTTAAATGGACGAACGACTTGTCCATCTGTCGAGCGGTTTATCCGCAGCGGACGAAGGGTGGAGGATGGCTCAGTTTTTCCGCGTCGCAATTTCGCGTACCTACTCTGAGAAAAAAAAAGACAGCGACCCTTTTAGGGACCCATAAGTATTATAGCAATCGAATTATTTGGATTGTTCGTAAGTCTAATCTCTTTCACGAATTTTACCCCGCGTAACTAAAAATCGCAATTAGCTATTCTATCTATATCCAAGATTCTAAAGTAATACTAAGCAATTCTCTCAATTAGTTCCGTCGATATTCAGTAGCGCAAAGATAATTTTCACTTAGGAGGCACTAACCGAAATGTTAAGTTGCTTAACTACAAGAAGAAACGGTCAAAATTTTTCCCAGAGTTGCGAACAACCCAAATAATTCGATTACTAATTGTGGGCCCCAAAATGGGTTACTGTCTTTTTTTCCCCCCCAGAGTAGGAAGTTTTGGTCAGTGAAAACTCGTTAATTCTTTCCCGCGATATTGCTGTCTCGAAACTACGCTTGGAATCGTTGTAATTAACTTCTGCCGTACTTTAACGCGTTATCTGCGGATCACGGAATATTCCGTGCTTCCCGGAGTGCACTCGGTGTTCCCGGAACTCCGGTTATTAATATGCCGGCGCATGCAGATCATCATCGAGATCGAAAACCCGGCGCGCGCCGTAAATCGCGGATCGTCACGGGACTAAAAACCCAAGATTCTGTCAACCGTGGATTCGAGATGACGATTTGTAAACCGACAAGTATCGTCGGAGAGAAAGAGAAAATAGCGCTCTATTGAACGAAGAAATGGCATCTTTCATTCCCAATTTCTTCGATATTTCGCTCGTCAAAAATTGTTTATATAATAATCATGTAATTGCAGCAAGATAATCTCATAATCTTATAATATTATTGATGGATACAAATGTGTATCATATTTGTTAAATGAAGTTTTGAATGAAATCACATCAAAGTCGAAGAGCAAAATCGTCGCCAGTAGCTTCAATACCCCTTTTCCACTAAAAAAATATTTTATCGTCTTTCTCAAAAAAGTCCGGACTTATTTAAATCATCTTAATTGTGAGGTCAAAGTTTTTGACCAAACTATTTCGCGAGTGATTTTTAGAGATGCAAAAAAGCAATTGCTTTCATATCTAAATTAACTTTGTTATTATTTTCACGAAAATACTTCGACTGAAACGTAAATCGAGAAAGGGATTACATTGTAAGCTTGATTGACAAATTCCTCGAATCGAATCATTCGAATGAGAAGGCACGTTCGACGGTTTCTCCCTGCTCTCTGAATGGTCCTTGTAATTTAGGGGTAAAACGAACGATTAAGCGATTTAAGCCAATAATAGCAACGGTGCGACGTCTGGCGAAGGGGGTGGGGATGTCGGTTGCATTTTAATTTAGCCGAGCGTGCAAGATCAGAGAGAGTGGCTCGAGTGCAGCTTCACCGATGAACCGGATGTCGTCCGTTCCTTTGCGCGTGTTTTTCCACGTGCGCTCGGCGCAAACCCCCTCGCCTCCCCCGCTCTCGCGCGGACACCAATGCCCGCGTGTGTGTAAAGGGGGTGGGTTCGCTCTCATTAACCTCTCTCGCTGGCGGAGCGCCCTTAGCCCGACTTGAATTGCACTCGTCGCGGGGACAGGAACGGGACAATCCCGCGTGCCTCCGTTAGCGGCAGTACGGGAGAGAGTGAAAAAAAGAAAGAGGAAAAAAGAAAAAACCAAGAGACACACGCGGCGGCGAAAGCGGGAGGGTGAATGTCTAGGGGGTCGCGAGAGGGTTCATCGATGCGAGAAAATTAGGCCACTCGCTCTGGAAAGGGTTAAGTTGCCTGGAAAGCTCGAGCGGTAAGAAAAGCGTTTAATTATCACGCACGACAGATGACTGCATGATTTCGGTCGCTGGTTTCTCTTAACCCTTTGCCCGAGCGACCTACTTCTGCGCCGACAAAACGGGAACTGCTTGACATTACATTTCCAAACGTGACAGGTTTCATTCATCGTCTCCTTTCTATGTAAAATTTTAATTAATACTAACATTATCCACGATAATGAGCAGTGCTGGATTGTACTGGGTCGGTCTTTTCTAAAAGCTCTATCGTTTTCGTATCTTTACGCGTTTCTTAATTTAATTTGCATATAAATACTTTTATTAATCGAAATATCAATTTTTATTGAACCTCGAAAATTACGAGTATCATAATTTTGTAATCCATATCTAACCTTTGTTCATATAGATTTGATTTGAATACCACGATAAAGCGATTGAATTTCTATTTTAAAATAAATAACACGATAAAATATTAAGGTGGCTCCTGCAGAAACCGACCAAAAGTAGGAAAAATTGAAATTTAAGTATATTGTAGCTGCAAGTTCTATCAGTACACGAAAATTTAGACCCGGTCGCCGATGAAATAAAAGGAAGCAAAACCGTTAAAGCTATACATTTTAACATAACAGTTATAGACTGACCACTCGCAGAAGCACTTTGAGGGTTAATATTATTTCACAGAAAAAGGAGATTTTAACAAGAAAACCGAGATAAACATAATAAATGTAAGAATTCAAATGCGCTATTAAATATATGAAGTCACAGACCTCTGCAAGCAAATATTTATTCGCAAAGTCAAAAGAAATAGAATGTTTTGAGGAATCTGACAGCTCTTTGAGATTAGACAACGTCACATATTTTTAAACGTGCATATACAACTTGGTATATCAATGAATGTGATCGCTAATGCATTAAAAAAAGGCACATGAATTTATAAAAATAAAAGAGGCCCCACCAAAGCACCCATCCGCTTCTTTATGCAAGAGCCACGTTAAAATAAACATCAAAACGAGTAGGTAGTTTCGAGATGTGACGAGCCAACAAGATTTAACTTGATGCCTACAGCAAGCGCTGCCTTTACCAGCTGCAAATCTCGTCTGCGCCCGCGACGGCGATAAGAAGTGCTCAGTGACGAAGATTCGAAAAGACCGAGGGATCCCAGAACGGCCGCTTTACGAGCCGTTGAATTTTTCGATTACATCAGGCGGCAAAAAGCGTCGACGTGTATGTACGTGTGTAGTGTGGCCAAGCGGAGCTTGGCTTTTCTGGGAAACAAGTTCCGTTTCTTGCGCTTTAGACGGGACACTTTTCAATGAAGAATTTCACAAAGTGCAGCAAAAGCTTGCAACGTTACGTCTCGACGATTTCGTTATCACAGGAGCCGCAACTTCACTAATTGTAATTAATTTGAAACGAATAATTTTGTTAATGTTCCCAGAAGCGAGACTTGAATAATTAATTCAGAAATACATGTCATTTTATTAACAAGTGTGCGCGGCGTTTTTTACGACGTTACAAACGTTCATCCGTCGGTCTTATATCATTTCCATTTAACGAAAGATTAGTCTAAGTATATCGTCGCACACGCTATTCGCATGTACGAGGAAGTGTCCACTAACGAGTGAATTGTCGACGACCTAAATCGCGCGTTAGAATTCCGGTGACTAATCGGTCAATTGGAGCGAATAGTTGTAGATTTTCGGTCATCAGTACATGCGAGCGTCGCGAGATTTTGCGATTACCGAGGCTACAGTATTCGCGAATCTCATTCATGCGCGTAGTAAACGCAAACGGGTGACTGCCGAAAAACATTGCACTCAATAGAAAGTCGATTGAACGAGATAGGAGCACTAATTGTCGATCATTATATTATTTATCGACAGATTAGACGTACGTAAAGCGGAACGCTGCATCCGATTTGATTCTGTATCACCGTGTAAATTCCACTAAATGCTGCCCACAAATTACAATCGTTGACTTCCACTGTAACTCCTGCACGGGGAGAATTTTCTTTTAACGCAGTTATTTCGTAAAACCATTTATGTGAGAATTGTTCCCACTTTTTACAGTTTATTCTTTACATCAATACATGCAAAGACTAATTAAATTAAAATTGACCGTCTCAAAGTTCTAAAAAAAAAATGTTAAAGTTTGCTATGTTACACGAAATATTACGTGTAAAACACGTTAAAAATATTATTACACGTAACAATATAATTCGTTGGAATGTTACTACACGTAAAATGTTATTTACACATAATGTTATGTGTTAAAATATTAATATTTGCGTTTGCGAACGCAAATGATGGCACGTTTTATTTTTTTTTTTTTTAGCTTAACGGTGAGTGAGATTCGTATGAGAAACAAATATGTTGTAAAGTAAAATAGAACGAATAACTGGGAAAAATCAAAATTATTGGCCGTTTCGTTTCAACAATATACACACTTAAAACTGAAAAATGGGAAGAATTATGTATTAGACGTGAGTGTATAAGAAATGTGGCAACAGCACTTCAAACTATATAATCTTTCGAATCTATTTTACATTATGTATTAATTGTAAGGGTATTCTTTAGAATAATATCGCATCAAGATGTATCATTGTAATAATTGAGTGCTGGCTCCTGTCTGGAAGAAACTTTTGAGCATTACTGTCGTGAAACAGCTACCTTAAAATTTACCCGGAAAATCATGTAACCGTGGGACGACACGGCATTTTGAAGAATTTTATGCGAGTTTCTTTGGCAAAATTTCAAAAAACTCTGACAAAATTCTTCGACATGCCACGTTGACATGATTTTCGGGATAAATTTCAAGAGAAAATTCTCTCCGTGTAGTGTAAGACGCAAGATTTTAATTTTCCCCACTTTGCTCTAAATGTTCACACTTTCATCTTATTTTGAGGTCGTCGATTGCGTAATACACGTTTTATCTCGACACCAAACAGTCTCCATTTGAAATAACAGTCACCGATTACTTCATCGATGAGCTAAACGCGCCTCGATTTATTTGCTGATCCACGGATCGCTTCTCTGGGTAGTCGGTTAAAGTGAGAGAAAAGGGTTGACAGTGGGTCGCTAACGTTGGGTCGTCGGGTCGTCGGCAAACCCGTGCCGATGAGAGATGAATGGGCCTGACCCTGGGGTGATTCGCCAGCTGACTGAGATCGTCATAGCAACGCGACAACCTAGGAAACGACCCTGCCCACCCCTGCAATATTCATACGCGTCCCTGCTGTGCCATCTCCCCCGGTCGATTCATTTTTTTTTCTCTCTCTCCCTCTACCCTTCGCCGCGATCTCCTTTTCCAGGCGAAATCGGTTAATCTCTCGTCGCCCGTCCACCCGTTTCTGCGTTCGTTTCCTTATGTCGGACAAAGATACGAGTAAACGGAACCGCAGAAACATCACCGCTCGCGTTCGTAACTTCCACACTCGGGACAAGAGTACTGAAAATACTTTGTAATACTTCGAGTCATCGCGACTTCACTACTTAACACTTTGAAATAAGTTTCGCCGCAAAGTAGCGCGTAATTTATGTGCATCGTAAAAAGTGAAGGATACATATATCTGGTCCCTACTGTACCGGACTTGAAGATTCCGATTGATACCGATCTCGTCGATATCGCTGATGACTGTCATGTCCGGCACGCCGCATTCAGGGCTTGAGCCTGAAAAGAGAGAGAGAGACACCGTGAGAAACAGTTGTAAGGCAAAAGATTTTAAATAGACATCGAGGCTCTTATTTAAACATGTCCGTAAACTTTTCAATCCGGATAATAGACACCCGGCGATCCTTTACCTTTAATTATTGGCCCTGAAAAAGTCAAACATCGAAACCCGACACGTCGTTAACAGTCGGAAGAACGCAATTAGGCAAACGGTGAAATTAAAACTGTTGATAATTATTCAAAGATATCTTTGCTGATTGCGCTTCCGGCTGACATCAAATTTCATTTCGATTACATTCCTGGGGTGAACTCCCACATCAAAGGGGACCGAGCCTGACCACCTGTTGTCCGGCAAGCGACAATTATGCTACTTCGACGGTGGGCTTTTCATTAATTAATTCTTTTCATTAATTCATAAAACTTGCGCCGCTTACTTATAAACCATTCTCCATAATCTTCTATTCATACCTCAAGATACTCGATGAATCGATCTCGGAATACGAAAGGAGTTTCAACTTGTTCTAATTTTAATGTGCACCTTGAAAATTTAAGTGCACCAACATTTTTGTTAAGTATCCATGCAAAATTAAGTATCCTGACAAGGCCAATTCGTGGCAACTATTTGACACGGTGGATCATTATCCTGTCAGGTTTCGTTCATCCGTGTTCCGAGATCAATTTGCGACGACAAGAGCGCAACACGAAACACGCCAGAACACACACACACAGGGGGATCAATTATTTGGTGCGCTCGGTCTCGACCGGTAGTCCACGCGCCGGCGGCGGCGAAGAATCGAGTTTCGCAGGTGCGACACATGCATCCGCGAGCCATCGGGTCGCACCTGCGCTGCCCAGCTGCCGCCGCGTAATTTCAAGGTCGCGATTAACGGGAATCCGCACGTGGACCGACCCGCGGTTGACCAACAGCGAACTTAGCGATCGGCAAAACCGGAGCCGAAATGCAAAGCCAATGGTGCAGCTGCTGTATTCAAGACCACGCGTTAATCTCGTTTAAACAAGCAAATTAAATGATAAACGATGAAATCGACGATATAAATTATTGTGACCAATTAGTGAGGCATAGTTTCGCAATGACGTCGTCGAGTTGAACAGTAAATTCAGAAATTAGAGTTTAAATGCCGTTTTATTAATATGTTAATTGTTAATTCAATACGATCAATATAATCGTATTAAATTTATAATGAAGCGATATTAATTGCACGAGATAAGAGCTATATTTTGATACTAATATTTAAACGATTTAATTACTTATATATCAAGGTAACTCGTTACTTGTAACAACTGTAACAAAGTTACAGTTACTTTTTTTTGGTAAATCTAACTTAACTTCGTTACTTTCTCTCTGTCTGTAACTGTAACTTAACTCAGTTACAGTTTTTCGATAACTAGTAACTAATTTAAGAGTTACATTAATAGTTACTTCATATATTTTCGAAACCAGCACGGATCGCATTAAGCCTTGCATAAGCGCATAAACGCCTTTATCGACACTTAACAATTTAAATGCAGATTTGATATTGGTTTCTTTTTATTGCTTTTTATTGAATATTTATTCTTATTATTTATTTTATTTATTTAAGAAAATAACTGCAAAGTAACAATTCGTTACTTTATGAGCAACTATAACTGTAACGCGTTACTTTTCAGAATTGGTAACTTGTAACTGTAACTATTATACAGGGTGTCGGATTCGATTTGGACGACTCCAAAGATTATAGTAGATTGGGTCAAACTGAGAAGAAAAGTTATATACCATTTTACAAAATCCGTAATTATTATCGCGTAATTAAGAAAAACGTCTGAGCCAATAAGTGCACGGAGGAGCGGAAGGCCGGACTCGACAGACATGCAAAATGGTGTATTTGTTGACATCTCTCACGATCCGATAGCGAGAGGTGGGGTCACGCATCGATCGATGAGAGACGGGGACGAGCGGGGAACGGTGAGCGGGCGAACGGCGCGCAGCGAGCGAACGCGCGACATATGACACCGCGCCGAAAAAGTTTTTCTGGTGGTAGGAGAATAATACACCATTTTGCATGTCTGCCGAGTCCGGCCTTCAGCTCCTCCGTGCACTTATTGGCTCAGACGTTTTTCTTAATTACGCGATAATAATTACGAATTTTGTAAAATGGTATATAACTTTTCTTCTCAGCTTGACCCAATCTACTATAATCTTTGGAGTCGTCCAAATCGAATCCGACACCCTGTAGATACTTTTATAAAGTAACTTTCCCAACTCTGATACGTACAGAGGTATCGACGATATTCAGAAAACTCAAAGCAAACGGATCGTCACAGACAGGATGTGCATTAATCAGAATGTTATCACGTCGTTTATTTGATTGGTATCATATTATTTATTAGTATTAACTAATTAATATACTTAGCGTTTCTCCGTGCGCGTCTAGTGCGAATATCATTATTCACTCTCTGAAAGTCAACCAGTGGATTATCACTGAAAACAGTGCATAGTCATCTGTTAATACGATCAACATAATCGTATTAAATTTATAATGAGGCAATATTAATTACACGAGATGAGCGCTATATTTAGATACTAATATTTGGATGATTTAATTAGTTACATATGTACAGAGGTGTCGATAATATTCAGAAAACTCGCATTTATCGGGCGTAAACCAAGTTCTCGCAAGGTTTATCGAAATTCCCGCGTTAATATTCCAATTTCCAAGAATTTAGTGCACAATTCTGTGGAGTGCAACTTCGTCCATTCGCTCTCTACGCTCCCGTGCGCTCATTTCTATCCGGCGATAAAATGACGCGCGATTTTTTTTACCCAACGGCGAATCTCCATCCGTTTCCGGAACGTCGCAAGACGTCCGGTTGAAGGTGCCTTCACATGAAAACAAGCTTCTGCCACATATCGCGCGATGCGTCCTAATTTACATAAAATTCTACGATAATCAGTAATAAGATTAAACTAAATTGTGACACGCTACGCGCAATGAAATCTCTTCCAAGCGAAATCCGACTGCGGATTTATCGAAAACAAATACAGAAAATCCCGGCGTTGATTCTCGTGTTAATTGAAACGCGAACGCGATGCGCCGAATGCATTTAAATCTCTTGTCACTCGGGAACGGTGTTAAAATTTAACACTTAAAAAATACCATTTAACAAGCTACCAATGTTGATACGTGCATTCAGAGCTAAATATAGAACATCGGCGATTACATAAAAAAATTCGCTGTAAACGGACAGGGATTTTATAGAACACATTATAGAAATATCCAGGCGTGCCTGTCTGTAAAAAATAATCTATAATATCTCCGCGAATATTTTCCACGGCATATCGTCAGTAGGGATCTGTCCGTGCTGTCGTAAGATCAATCTCTTTATTTCCGATTTCGCAAGCCGCTTTCGTGGAATCGCGGCCGGATCGATTCGCGCGGCATGAAGAAACGCGAGCCGCTGCGCGTGAGATCGGAGAGCGAGCCGAGAAAATGTTGTGCGCGGGACACAAAGAGCCGGTCACGAACGGCCGCAACCGGGGGAGAAAATTAAAATGCGCAACTGGCACGGGTGCCCACATGGCGCAACGTAGTTATACCACCGTGTGCGCGCGGGCGCGTACAATGGTATTGTGTGGAAAGGAGCAAAATTCACACGCGGGCTTGGGGCGCCGAAGGACACGCGCGCGTCAAGTTCCGTCGTCCCCCGGAGGCGATAAAAACGTTCGGTTTACACGGGGTGTATCAGAATTCACTCGGGCGTATCAGCTTCCTCCGTGCAAGAGTCCTCTCGATAAATCCGACATTTTCGCAGCGGAAGTCCGGCGGGGTCCCGGACTTGATTCTTTTATCGGCGTTTGCGCCGATTTAAAAACGTTTATCTCGCGGACGCGATCAAATTCAGCCGAATGGCGAGCGACTTTTAATGATCTTAAAATAATCTTATATACCTGCGCTCGCGGTATAATTCGATTGAATCTAATTCATCACCGCTCGCGGCTTAATCTAATTTCAGTCGAGTCTCTTGATTGCTAAACTTCGAATGAAGATTAGCCACTAAAGCCCAAAGCTTGAAAGCGACGCAATGGAAAAGTATATCGTTCCCTCTTAGTTCGCAAAATATATAAAAATATTAACTTGCTGAATAATTCCGTTATAATCAGGTCGCCGTAACAATCGCGTTCCTCAAGATTCTCGTAATGCTTAGTCTATTGGTACAATGGGCGCAAAACGCAAGACGCTAAGTCGCAACGCAAGAAATCGGCCACCAACAGTCGATCGTTCTTCTCATATTTGGCTGTGATTGGTCGATTTCTTGCGTTGCGGCTTAGCGGCTTGCGTCCATTGTAGAATAAGCTTCAGGGCGAAACAAAAAAAAAGAAGCGTTCCTTAATCGCCATCGGCCGAGATACATTCCGGAAATTTATTGGATAATTCATAGCCGAGTGAAAGTCGCGTAAAGACCGAGTCAGACTAAAGCTCGTATCAGACTACGGATTGAGATTGAGACTAGATTGAAATTTGACCACTTATTGTTAGAGTAAAAGTCACTCAACTTTAGATTAGTGAACTTTACTCCGAGTGGTAAAATTTCAATCTAATCTCAATCTGAATCCGTAGTCTGATACGGGCTTAACAATTGCCGACTTGGATTGGGTTGGGATTGGCGATTGGCTGTCCTCTAGCCAATGGGAGTCAATTAAATCGCTGGCTGCTTCGCTCTCGTTGGCTAGAAGACAATCGCCAATCCCAATACAATCCGCGTCGACAGTTGCTAGTCTGATTCGGCCTTAAGCCCGTGTCACACTACGTATTGCGGATCGCGTATCGGATTGAGATTACACGGAATTTTCTCTTAAAATTAACCCTGAAAATCATGTAATCGTGGGACAACATGGCATTTTGAACAACTTTATGAGAGTTTTTTGAAATTTTACTAGTAATTATACAGTACACATTTTACTAGTTAAATATTATGGTAAAATTTCAAAAAACTCATAAAATTCTCCGAAATGCCACGATTACATGATTTTCAGGATAAATTTTAAGAGAAAATTCACTCTGTGTAGAGGTGTTTATCAATCAATCAGCTTTTATTCACTTTAGCTTACAGCCAGAAAGTGGGACTTGGTTTACAATAAAATCTTATCTCATTCATACATCCACTCCTCACTACTCTATTATTATATTATTATATTATTATATTATTCCCTATCTACCTATTATCCTATCCGCTCCTAAATCTATCTATTTATACTATATGTGTAGAGGTGTTTATCGACATTCGATATTATCGATTATTCGATATTTTTTCAACATCGATATGAAAATATCGAGTTAAAAATCCACGAGTGAAATATCGAATGAATGCTTTTGAACAACTTAGATAAACATGAATACTTTTTAAAACCGATCGGTGAGTTTAATTATGCAGAGAAACTTGCATACATTTGTATGTATGTACATAAGGAAATCGTCCAATCATGATGCGGTTGGAGAAGCGTTTATGTGATTGGCTGTATTTCACGTCCCTGTTTATCGTCGCGACCTATAAACGTGCCACTCATCCACACCTACCAACACTAAAAAGGAACCTCGCGGCATTGGTACTTCGAAAACGAATAGACCTAGTGGCTGATTTGCTAGAACTTTCTACTTTGTACTCGCGATACTTTCTAAGTTGGCGAATATATTCATATTCGACAGCTTTTCTCGATTTCGACGTGTCCAATTGAGATTGCGAATCGCGGATCGCAATTCGACCAATCGGATACGAGGCTGTCTCGTCTGATTGGCCGAAATGCGATCCGCAGTAGTGTGACACGGGCTTTAACGCCTCGCGCAATCAGTGACCGGCGACGATAAAACACGTCTGCCTAGCTGCCCCCCCCCCCCACTTTATCAAAATTAAATGAAAAATTCTCAAATAATGCGCTATTTATGCGCTTTATAAATCCACAAGAAAAAACTAGTTCTACGCAAGTCGATTTTACGATGTTCACGCGATGAATCATTTTTAAATACCATACCAGAACACCGGAAAAACCTGCCCTTTCGAAATGCCACGCCAATGACTCATTCGGTCCTCCCCCCCCCCCCCCACCCGAGATCTCGACGATCACATGGGTATGTAACATCGGGGGAAAGTTTCTCGCGTCGCCACGATCTCGAGCCGAATCCAATTTCCTGGAACTTCTTGCGAGAGGACCTTGAGGAATCACGGCGACGAGCGTAATCGCTGAGATTCCCCGCGAATGTGTCACCGCGGCGAGA